GGGGGGGGGGGCGAGAGGGACTAACAAGTCATCATCAAGACTGAGGTAATTACCTGTTCTACTTTACCTGAACAGGCAATTCAGTTGTGACCAAGTCTGTCAGAGTGAACAGACGAAACAGTCAACAGGTAGGCCTAAACCAAATTTCAGGATCTATCATAAATGAAAACTTTCTGACTATGTGCATTAAAAGTAGATGTGAAAAAAGAACTCTGAAACCGATAGCACATAGGCTTACAAGGGGGTAGACCTACATGTATGTATGTATGTATGTATTTAATATTTAATAAATTACATGTATACTTGTTGAAGAGAAGCGGGGCGACGTTTGTTTGTTTGTTGGGGGTGGGTCACATAAAAAGTAACTTGCTGTTTTCCGGCCCGCCCCCCTCATGTGCTCTATGACCAGTCCCTTATATAAATCATAGAGGCTAACTTGTGAGCGTGTAGGCCTACCTATATTTAGTAGTACACCGGGCCATATAGGCTTATAGCTACACTATACTGTATAGTCAAGGCTTGAATCTTTTGAAGCTTGTATGTACAATATTTGCCGATGTTTGTGATGATTGACCTTAATGTTTCATTAGTCATAAGTCTAAGGATTTCTCCCAAGTGATGTTTCCTTAAAAATTAAGGAGTCAATTGTTGCTTCTGCGATGAATAGAAATTCGACCACACCTTTACATAGGTTTGACAAAGATTTGTGAAATGTTCTTCATCTTCCTCATAAAAAATTGCTCCCTGATATCCGCATGATCTGACAAATTTTTGGGATCAATATCACACGTAGGCCCTACATCATTGGCTTAGCTCTAAAGGCTAGGGTTCTACTTTTTGTGAAACGAAAGCTTAGATTTCTGAAAATAACGATCTTGAAAGTTATTTTTGTCCAAATACCCCTTGCTTATGACCGATTATCTAGCTTCAAATACATGCAGGCCCAGCAGCTTGCACCCAAATCACAAATATAACAATAAAAAATTTTTTTAAAAAATAAATAAAATTTAAAAAAAAACGCCAAAACTCACCCGCTGGCTAAGGGCTAGAAGTTGAAATTCCTACTTAGTTCAGCCCATCACATGGTAATACATTGTATTATCTCAAACTTGGCCCTCAGATACCAACCAAACCTAGTAACCGACCGGCTCAGTTACTACAGTATATAATGCATAATCTCACTCCCCGGGTTTTATCTGATAAAGGGTCGTTATGAAAGGAAAAAAAACTTGTCGGGGCCAACCCCGCTCCCCGTCCTTTTACGATTTATGCTTAGGCCTACCTCGGTTTTATATCAAATACGTTCCAGTTACTAGACTACTCTTTTAAATTTCTATCAAATGCACGTAAATAGTTTACTCCCTAATTCAATCCACTCATCTTGAGCAGAGCGTGTCAGATAAAAGATAATTGTTTCTTTAATTTTAGTGACGATGGATGTGAATCAAAAAAGCAAAAATAACCAACATTTGAAGTAGACCATCTTACATTAGCTGCATTTGGATGCTACAAAAGAGTACAAACTGTTGAAATGATTGCTTGAATGTTCGCCAAGAATTCTTGTTCCCAAGAGAGCTATTCAAAACGCATTTTGCTTGTATACTTTCTAATTGTACGACACGCAAGGAAAGCGTAATGATATTGATGATGAGAATTCAGGATAACACTTTTTAAAAGAAGGGAAGGCAGAATGGAAAAAAAAACTCTCCTCGCCTACCTTGGCATTTTTGCGTGCCAGTGAAAACAAACAATAAAAATACAATAGAATTGAAAGAAAAAATGCGGGAATTCAAAGATCTGAATCATGTTCCCTGTGCTTTGCCTTCCTGCGTGTGCCTTTAGAATGAAAACATGATTTCTCCATCTGAGAGTTTGAAATTATTGGTAAATGCAGGGATGACTCTCTTAAAAGATCATCCACAGGACCTTGAAGTACATACTTAAATCTTTTACCAGAGGTGCAAAACTATACGTGTGTTACAATAGATTTAAAGTCCCATTACTTTTTATTTAAGAGTTGCGCTTTTGATAAAAAGAAAATCCAAATCGTCATTTTTTAAAATATTAAAATATAGATTATATGACTTATGTTGGTGCCTCTATCCGTAGTATTAACGAGATTTTTGCTGAGAATGAGCAACCCAATGAAATACCCGAATGATAATATATGTGGACGAAACCAGAATGAAGGAGGGGTTTCCCATTTTCTAAAACAAAACAACACAATATAGACCCCCCCCCCTCCGTCCCCGTAATGTAAATTGTAGATTACTTCGGGAAATGTGAACTAAAAAGGATGTCCGCAATTATCTGAAAACAAAAAACAATTTATTATATTGCCTTCAAGACACGCACTTGTCATGAATACACTGAGCTTGAATTGCGATGCATGCCAACTCCTTCATTTCAAATCACCATCCTCCTAACGGTCCGGTTAGCCAGCATATATATATTATACATATATATGGAATTTTGATTATGTACAGTGAATGAAGAAGAATGTACGCATCGGGTCTGAAACTCTGATTAGTTCTAAAAGAAATAAAAGAAGTCCTTTTGTAGCTATACAAACCCCATCAGTCCGGGGGTATCTGATTCAAGAGTCCTGTCACACTGTTCAATATTTGGCATATTTTGGACAGTCAAATTATAAATAAGTCACTAATTACTAAAATGTTAACTCAGTGACTCCATTTTAATGGGCACGGCCCGTACAGAGACCTCTTCGACGTCGTAAAATATTGGGCATTCTGATTGAGCTCTGAATAATATTAAGATTATCACGACTTAAGCATAACAGATCACCGTAAAAGTTGGAAGAAATGCTGCAAATGAAAAATATATGTATATTTGATAGATCCCAAGAGAACGCAACACAAAAACGCAAAGCAGTGCTTGTGGTTTGAAAAGGGAAAGATTACACTGTATTCTGTTCCCCAGTGATCCAATCGTACCGGTAGCTAAAACGAAGAAGATCTATTGTTACAGAACATATCACTTAGATCAAATGGATTTTATATAAAGAAAGGGAGCGAGTTCCGGAAATTAAATTATTCCCGTTCCAAAGATTGTGTGCTGAAAAGGTCATAAAGATGAGGATATAATATTATACGTGTATATATACATTTTGAGCATTGTAAATAACTATTTAGGAATTAAGCAATGAACAACTTTTATTATTATAATTAATTTTATTGTTGTTGTTGTTGCTATTATTGTTGTTGTGATTTGAAGTTAGAATTGCTAAGATAATAGAATACAAGGAAAAGGATAGCATTAGAAATAAGGGTACACAAGGTGCACTTGTTAGAACTAAAGCAAAGTGAATAGAAGAGGGTGGACCCCCGCCCCCCACTTCTCTCCTTTCAAAAAAAAAAAAAAATGGCGGGGTTCATTAATCATTAAGACAGCCCAGGGGGGGGGGGGGGGCAGAGACCGACATCTTCAAAACTTAGCCTATAGCATTAGCCATTGCAGGTAAAAAATTAATGACGACTTTTTCTACCCTGCCATTTTGTTCTTGTCATTCTGCTGTGCACCACAGATTTAATGGGTATTCAATGTGCCCACAGCCTTTTCTGTTGTCAAGTCACGTAATTCATAAAAAAGTCATTGCTTATTACTAACCAAAACGTTGTGCTCGGCCGGTGTTTAGCTCACTAATATGTTTCCCTTAAAACTCACTCTGAATCTTGAATACAGATGTCAAATTAATAATTTCTTGCATGCATGGTGGAACAAGACACTGGTGAACTTGATTAGAGGGACTGTAACTACAGTAGAAAAAATAGAGACTTGACGTCGAATATGGAGATAGGAGATTTCAACTGTTAGATCACGTGGAATAATTTTATCAATTCAATCACTGTTCAATGCTCAAGCAGAACAGGCTTCTCTGTATACAAGCGTACCAGCTGCCTTCAGTTTTCATGCCAAAAGTGTCGGTATATCTGGCGGTCACTTTCAGTCCGTACATGTGCCGTTATATATAGATATAAATCTAGGCACTATCGAACGACGGCAATTTTTTGTCGGCACTCGTGCCTGCCTCACAGAATAACAAGACTCGCTTTAGGTCTGGGAGCAGAAGATTGGTGTTCGCGCTGTGTACATAGTCACACACGCAAGTGCATGTGTGTAGCCGCTATACATTAGTTGCAAGATGTTTTAAATGCCGACTGTCAATTCTTTTCCGTCTTTTCAAATACTGTATTTTCAATTATGAGGCAAGTTTGGTTCTTCCGCTTCGCCTCTGGTGGCGCATGGTTAAAATAAGGCTAAGAGAACTCCAGATATTTTAAACTAGATAATTAGGAGCCTTCTTATTTAATAATAAAATCAAACTGATATTCGACACTTAGCCAAGTAAGAGCATAAATTTCACATTTAATGACTAGTCTGCCCCTGATATAATTTTCAAACGCAACCGGTGGGAAAACCATTAGTATTCCATGTTTTATCGAATATTTTGGGAAAACCTTGTAGCGTGAAAGATAGTGCACATATCTGAAAATGGTGGGTTAATTGAAACCTGGTGTTAATTCATTAATCTATTAGCGGCGGCACGCACCAGACATGATTCAAATAGAACCAGATCTCTACTGCAAACGGGCCAGTAGCCACAGAGACTGGAGCAAACAAGCACGGTAAGATACAAACAGTCTTAACACTTAATTAGATCATCAAATGGTAAATGGCAGTTGTATTAAATATACATGTGATTGATGCAGCTACAGACATTTACGTCATATTTATTTCAATTTGCCAGAGTGGGCAGGGACAATCCAATCTCTTAGATACTAGTCTGCCTCCGCTTCACGTATATTTTTTAATCATTTATTTATTTGTTTTATTTATCTTGCCTACTTATACTAAGATTCCGAAATGCAATCAAAGATCTTACTTGGCGTGTCCAAGGGATGACCGAGTTGATTACAAAAAGATAAAGCAATGAGGAATGCTTTTCTGCACAGATCAGTCAGTCATTAAGTAATATAATCATTCACTTCCCGTCGATTAAATAAATTGATTTTCTTGTCATCTCTTCTAGTTGCACTAGCCTCTTTCCCCTTGGCTTGTGGTTTATGTCGATCAAGTAGATAGACATGTTCTACTTTGGCATTTCAAGTGTGATTAGAAAGTACTAATCAGACTAATCACTGTCTGTTACAGGCCAGTTAAACACTACCTTCTTTTTTATCTTTTTCCGACCCGATTGATGAAGGTACTTTGTTTGTCCTCAGGAATTCCGCGATTGCATACTGTGCTTGCCACACAACCACACAACAGAACATACATGTTGACTTTGCTTCAGTTGCCTCATCACCATTCTCTTTAAATCGATATGATTTCACAATCCACTGGATTTTGAATAATTCTTTTGCTCATCACCGATGTCATTTCATGATTTCTTGTCTCCGCTGGTTCACCGGGGTTGCCCTCGACGTACGAATAATGTACGAATAATAATTTCTTCTGTTCACGCGGTTTATTCTATTTATGCACAAGTTTTATAAATTGTTTTATGCAATATCTCTGTCACAGTAGAGTGACAGAGTTCCTAATTTAGCTAAAAAGCAGTGGCATACGTAAGCAAAGGGTCCTCACCCCCCCCCCCCCCCCCCCACACACACACACACACACTTTGGTAGACTGAGATCCGCAATCTACATGTTCTACGTAAATTTAATGAAAACATACAACCCCATCCAACCGTCGGAAACGTAGGCGCTTTCATTTTTCTAGAGCACTTAAACGTGCTTTAATAATAACGGTTAACAGCCTCGCAGCCGTCTACTACATGTTCATCTGTCTCTTAATTTCTGTAAACGCGTTACTAGACGAAAAGACATAAACCATGACTCTTTAGCACAAATAACCAAGTACCGCATGTAAAAAAAAACAATAAAAAGTAAGTCTTACTTTAAACTGTTCAATAGCTCTAATCAACTCAAAATTCAGTGGAAAAAAGCCCCGTCCTCTAACTATCGGCGAGAAAGAGGACAGAGACACCATCAAGATAGTCTCACGAAGTTTTAATTACATTGTAGGCTGCTTTTGTGCCCAAGGCGAATAAAATTAGCGGTCGTTAAAAATGCTATTAACTGGGTCTTGTGTCCATGTTTACAGTGTTATCACTGACAGCTAGGGTAGATTACATCGGTTTTATACTGGGGGTACATCACTGTACACATTACAAACGGGAGGAAAAAACAGGTGTGAGAAAAAGTTTGGACTGGGAATATGAATTAATCCGATGTACAGTATGACGGCAGAACAATATGGCATTTGCGCTGATGTAGAGTTAGATTGCACATTTGATATTAACAGGTGACCATGGATACGTAAATTAAACAGTTATTAAATAGCATGCTTGTGTGAACACATACTCTAATGAATAAAGACAAAAGCTTAGGATAGTGTCAACCAGTTACATTATGGTTTTCTAAATATTTTATGCCGTAAAGGGTTGTTTTTAGTTTTAAAAATCCAGTACTCTTGCCTATTGTGTGTTGTTAATGTCAACACGTTCCAGCATTTTTTTTCAATTTTTCATGTCAGTAATCTTGAAAAAAAAACAACAACGAGAAATAGATTAGACGTTCCTCTAGTTAAGAACAGGAATAAATGAAGGCATCATCTTAATTTCGAAATCAACCACTTTACATAACATAAGTTGTGCTCATTAGTTAACGGGTTTATAAGTATTTCATTAAATACCTCAAGTTTCAAATAAAAAAACAACAAACTTTCCTGTTTCTTTTAATCGTGAAACAACAGAACACATTTAAGTCAATTTCCTCGCACAAAAGCAAGTAATTACTGTTCCAATTTGGTGGTCCATTAGTGAGCTATTTTCACTCGTTTGCAGGAGGACGTTTGTTTGTGAAGGTGGTCCTAAAAATGGCCCTAATATTTACTTAGCCTTTCTACCATTCTTTTTTCAGGCATCGACCACAGCTGGTATTCGTAAATACACATGCGGCTAATAGTCTATCCTTATGATAATTCTAGAGCCTGGTCTTTCGCCTACTTCTAAATAATCCTCTACGTATAGGGTGTTCGAAAATGAGATCTAGCAGCTTTATCGCCCTTGGGTCGGTCTGTCGGTGTTGATGCCAAGAAAAATTGATCGACTGTTTGAATAGGTGATATTGTTGTGCGATATCCTTAGTACTTAGATTTGCAATTATGACAAAAATTGGCATGTCTTGTCTCGGCAAATTGATGCAAAACACGACCCTTGCAAAAAAGAGGAATCTAATTTGTAGACATCCTGGCTTACATCAAGTTTAAACAGTAATTTGTGGTGGCCTAATACGAATGTCTAATACAAGTCGTAACTGCGCTTTGAATTCGTAGTGAGGTTAAAGTGAAAGTTCACGAAATAGGTAGGTCCATCAAATGTTTTTGTGCATGCATGATTTGCATATCATGCAGAAGCCTGATTGGTGTTTTACCCGAATATGTACAACGTGCTGCTTTCTAATCCACTCTCGTTTTTCATTTTGCAGGATCCGGCCAAGATGCAGGTAATGTCAAGGGATACGTCTAGTTGCTGCATGTCGCTGACTGACACCGAGTTAGTCCCCTGTGTTTAACAGGCAGTGGCAGACGACACTGATATAGTAATTGACTCCAAGGTAAGTGTCTTCAATATTTTAATCAGCGTTTACTTGCGGTAAAAATCCTGAAAAGTAATAGGCAAAAGAATGACGGAAGAAGAAGAAAGAAAAAGTAATGAACTATCGATTTAATTCTATTTACCGCACGCAAACCGTTTCTACCATACAATTTTTAACTGATGCCAGATTTCCAGTTATTAAAGTACAGATCCCCAGCTCTTTGATCTTGGATGAAAAGTGCACTGAAACTTGGTTAAAACCACCAAATAGAAGCAAATATATCGAGACATTTCCATTAAAGATGCCACTGGACACGTTTATTAATCAATAAAATTGATCTAAATCATTGTATTCAGTTTCTATTTGTCAGCAAAAGAATTCCTTGGAATATTATCTTTCCATTATCAACTACCACTTCATTTAAGGCACTACCATTTGCCCTACTATTTCTGAACTAGCCATTACGTTGCGTGGCTTTTTAATTTAATACTGAACACGTAGAAATGGGACCCAGACTCAACAGTGCTTCAGAGGAAATAGAGAGGACTGGGCTTACAAGCGATTTCGTACTGCTGGGCATCATAGACGATACGTTGTTTGTTCATCGGTTGCTATCATTCCGAGTTTTGCCTCGTGTTAAGTGGATCAATCAAGCAAATTACTGAGCGGATATTTCGGGAGTATTTGGCAAATTCTACAGTAAAACCGTGCGGTTGGCATTTGAAAAAGCGGGAACAGTAAAACATCTGCGATATATGAGACAAGGTTTGTTGATGTAAAATCATCTAAGGCTGGTTGAATAGTAAAATAGATAGCTGTTATTTACTGCTGCAAAAATATGTACCATTATTCTGGGTGTTTTTCAGTTGGTATAATGTTTATTGATTACATTTTAACATAATTTTATAAGTTATGTTTTGATTGGACCTAGCCAAGGCACACAATAATCTGTCAATAATCGGCTTCAGTGTCCCCTTTAAAAGAGATCGCGCACCTTGAGGTTTTGAAAAACTTGACGCGTTTAAAGCGCGTTGTAAAGACTGAGGTAGGCAAAATTTTCACATGGAATTTCTGTCGAAGAATGTCAAACTGTTTTAAACAGGACTGCATGTAATTTTTTTTTACCTTTCAGCACTGCATAAATCCAGGGCGAAACCTGAATACATTGGATTATGGATTTCAGGCTGGGAAACATGACACTTATTCCATTGGCCTTTTTGATGTCCGTTATGTTAAAAAATTGTATTGGTCAAGGGTATGAACCATCCTGCCCCGTAACCGAGACCCCCGACCAGACCACGGAAATCTGTTTCTGCATTCCCGAAAGCGGCGAAATATTCAAGTGGGATATAGACTGTAACTTCAGGGGATATGGACCAAATATGCCTAACTTTCTACAAACTGATGATGTTATTGGAAAACTTGACTTCAGGTACAACTCAATCAACCACATTCAAAGTTATGCATTTCGGAACATCCCGGGTTTACGAGAATTGAACTTGGCCGAGCAGCATCCAGTTGGTAATGTTAGCACGCTCACCGTTGCTCCCGGGGCGTTTCATGGCCTGATTAATCTAGAGAGTTTAACGCTGATAAGAAACAGGATAGAAAACACCACACAGGTGATCAACCCGAGTACAGTAGACGGATTAAAAAATCTGAAAGAACTATATTTCTTCGATAATGAAATCAAGAAAATAGGAGCTTTGGCATTCGCAGGCTTAGTCAACCTTGAGGTGTTAAATCTGAATTATAATTACATTGCCTCGATTCACGTAAATGCATTCGTGGGGTTGAACCGATTGAAAAAGCTGTTTCTTACCCGTAACAAGTTAACACGCGTTGATCCAGGTGTTTTCTCCAGTGTGACAACGTTAAGGCAACTGTTTCTAAACGAGAACCAAATTACAGAAGTTGCCCCCAAAGCCTTCAATGGGCTCCGGAATCTTACTGATTTAAGGCTGAATAAGAACAAGTTGCAGAGTCTGGATAATATGGTTATCGTTGGACTCGATAAGAGGGAGGTATTTTTGCACATCGGAAGGAATCCCCTACACTGCGACTGCGAGCTTAAATGGCTTCGATCTTTAGAAATAACACCCTCGGGAAGCTGCGGTACCCCTAAAGAACTTCGTGGGGAATCGGTAGTTTCTTTCCCAACTGAAGATTGTGGACGCGTCACAGCGGAGTCCTCGTGTATAGATGATTGCCCATCTAACTCGGGGAATAAGAACGATGCATTTATCTGTGCTTTATTTTCCCTCGCTATTGCTATCGCAGTGCCTTTGTGACTGTTGCCAGCAACATGAATAATGTAGACAGACGGCGAATGCCTCATGCAAGCGTCGTTTTCGTGTCCCTGCAGTCGTTAAGACCTCACATTAGTGGACATATCCAGGACCCAATATCCGTTTATCGGTGACATTGGTTTTTAAAATTTATCATTACTATTAGAGGTTAGGATTTCTTAGAATTGCTACATGTTGTAGTTCTGTAAATTATACAGAGCTTATGTAAATGAACTTCAATGCAGATTGCTGATGACGCGATTGAAAAAGATTATGACTTTTATTGTGATTTATGGAAAGTTGGTCGAATTTCTCTCCGCTTATTGAATTATTTCGGTTGCTTAGTTTCTGTCCAACGAAACAATGATGGATTGTAATCTTATCTGTTTTAATTGTAAGCTTTTAAGATAATTGGGTTTTTAAAAAAACATAGCGTAAGAGTCAATTGGCGTTGCCGCGCAGAGAAAATCGAGGGCAGAGGACAGTGGCTGCTTCAAGTGGAAAATCCGATAAAGACCTATTTCATTTGAAGAATAAACCATTTATCACCCCCTTGGGATGCGTTGTTGAGTATGTTGTATCAATAAGATACCAACTCTCACTGTCTATTCTGCACGGAGGAAATTGAATTAATGCATACACGTATACCGTTTGGACAAGGGAAAAACTTGCGCCAGAGATGCACTGCAAGTAGAAACATCTTAAAGCCATTAGACCCTCCTATTTAATTGGGCAAAGTTCAAGCGAAACCGCTACTCGATTTACCACATATTGTTGATAGAAGGAAGAAACGAGGAAGGGAAGAAAGGAAAGAGATGGAGAGGTCTATTCCGCAGGGCCAAAGGGCATGCAAGTTTCTATAATTGTTTAATGTACCTTAACACTGTGATGCCATTTCAATATTTTTCGATAACAAAAAGTCCCTGCAGAACTTGGCTTTCTTCTTAAAATTCGAATACAGCGAAATGATCATTTGTGCCAAACAAAATCGATGCCTTATGTTCAGTAATTCTCCAGAGTTGTAACAATGAAGATGGAGTGAGGCCGGGTGGAGATAATTGAATTTTAACCGCACGTGATTTCGATCGTAGATAATAAATGTAGATAGTTATATGATATAAAACAGCTTAATACTGATTAAAAAAAGAAGAGCGGAGCTATTGCAGCTTTTTGTTTTTCCCCTGGCACTAAAAACATTGGCACAATGAAAAGCACCTTTTGCGACGATCACAAGAATGCACAAGGTCTGACAATCGAAAATGGCGTGTGAACCGTACCCTCTTGAAAACGCATTTGTTGACTGAAAAAATGTAAAAAAATCACCGATCCCTTCAAGTATGCAATTCGTTATATATAACAAACGAGAAAAAGAGAATCCACGACAACGTTAGCTTCACTTTTCATCACCTATCAGCATAATAATAACGCAAAAGATAGCTTAACCTGAACCGCGTTTATTTAGTTACATATTGAAAAAAAAATGCATTCATATCTGACACCATCAGAGATATTTTATTAACATGAAAAATCCAAACATACATGAGATTTAACGGATTATATCCAAATTTGAAATTAAAATATATCAAAGTATCAGAATGGTAAGAATTCATAGTCACATTAACACATATTGCATCTAAATTTATATACATCAAAATGGACATTTATACACAATTACACGACTAGATATTTAATACAATTATCATTGAACTGTAGAGTGCAAATGATAACAAGCGCAGAAGAAAATCAAATAGCGATAAATAAAGGGTTTATCCAGTAAGTTTGGCCCAAGGCGCCAAAGAGATACAAAACCGGGTATGTGGCAAACAAAATGCTGCAAGAAAGATTGAAATCAATGTTTTTAAGTAACAACGGCACCAATACAGTGTGCACTAATGAAGTTTCTCCCACCAATGCATAATGTACTATGTTTGGCGGTGGCATTCGCCCAAGAAGTATTATTTACAGATAATGGGTCAATGGAGAGCAATTTGGAGAGGCCCAGATCTCTTATGCAACGGAGGTACCTCCGCTCTGAGTATTCCTATGGGCATTTAACCAGTACTACATGTAATGGCACTCAACTATAGTTTTTGTTTTGACAGACTTTGATGGGAGTCAGAGACCCAGCTGGCCACCGAGTGCCCCATCAGTTTTTGAAGTGCTTAATAACAATATTCACTGTAAATGCAATAAAACATATTTGTATGTATTTTTGTAAATTATTACTGAATTTGTAAGATATTACAGGGCTTATAAATAAAAATAATTTCTTAACAAATGAGATCAAGGAGACAGAATGAAATGAATAAATTAAAACAAATATCACGTTGCTGTAATGCTATCACTTTAGGTAAGGCTTAGAACAACACAAAATACCAGATACTTCTCAAACATTAACACATAACACAACACAAAGTAAATGTCAAGTTTTTAAAACTTGAATCTCATGTTTTCTTGAAGAATCATTTGGTTGTCGAAGATCTGCAAGTCATTCTTTTAAATCTGAAAAGAATTTGTTGAAAATGTACGGGTGGTGTCTTTGAAACTGCTTCACTCGACTTTTCTTTTCTTTTAGGGAAATGCTTGTATCATCGAGAATGCCGTCCATAATCTTGCGCAGACACTGCTCCGTGTAATCCTCCATCTGTTTCTTGTATTCCTCCTGCGTAACCCTGTCGCAATATGTGAAGGTTTCAGCTGAAATGATTAACATTGATTCTAAATGAAAATGGGACGAGTCAAGAGTGCATTCACTCAAGCCAAATTGAATAGGTAGCCATAAATGAAATTACAAGTCTTTTTGTTTGTTTGTTTTTTCCACCCTCAGGGGTATACACCAGTTGATATTAATCAAAATAGGCTTAGAAATGGTAACTATGAAAGCAGCATGAATCGGGCATAAGTTACATTACAAATTCATCTGAGACTCCAACACTTATAATTGTGACATTTTACTCAAACATGCTGTTGTCTTTGCAGAGAAATTTTATTCACTGATTGAACTTTTCATCCAAATGTCAGCAGAGACATAGGGATGTACTTGGACAAATCACATTTCATACTAAAAGTTTTAATGAGGGGTGAAGTGCTGGTTTTGGGTGAAGTGCAGTTTTTTTTTTTTTTTTTTTTTTTTGGGGGGGGGGGGTGTGTGAAGTGCCATGTTTTTCAAGGTGTATACCTTTACATGTGAGTGCATATATAAAATATAACCTTGTTAATTTTTCATTAATAAATAAAAATAAATACTGATAAGTGGTTTGGGGGGGGCACTGATGAAAAAAGTGAAACAGTTGCTGCAGGTTTGCTATCAATAGTTGGTAGTGTGTGCAATCTTTACACAGTAATTTATTTTTGTTAACTTTTATGATATGAGAAGGCTAAAACACATTTTTGCCAAATTGATTAAAGGAATTCAACTGCATTTCATTTCATTGGACTTCCTGGAGAGCCACCCAGCTTTCTCATGCTCCAAATTCTTACCAACAACTGGGTCCATTTCAGAGCCCTTCATCTGTTGTAAGCTTTGCATAACCATGAACTTAATGTCTTTAGGAGTAGTAAAAACAGCATCACAGTTGTCCATCATGAACATGACCAGAAGACTTGTAGGCTGTGGAGCAAGCAGCTTACATTTGAAGACAGCCCCAGTGAATATGTTATTCACTGCCTCTCTGTTACTAAGCTGAAATGCAATCGATATTAAATTAGGCACTGGAGGTAGATTGGTCCCTTGTCATTTCACAAAGATAAGTTTTCATAAAAAAACTTCAATCAATGATGATACAGTTCTTTTCCCACGAACAGATACCAATTCACAATTAGAACAGTTGTGTGGACATGGCAAGTAAAGAGAAACCCAACTCTGCTATTATGACTCATTACTAAAGATTTCAAAAACCAATCCATGAGAACGTTAGTTCTTTTCTCATGAAAAGATACCAATTAACAAATTGAACAGTTTTATGGGCATAACAAATGAAAAAAACATAAGTATGCAATTATGACTCATTGCCATAGTTTTCAAAAACCAATCCATGCACGAAATGTACCTTTGGATCAAGCTTCATTTCACCATCAGAAGCTGCCACTTGCATGAACTTGAGGAGCTTCTTTAACTCGGCTCTTATGTCCGTGGGCAACAGTAACATGCTAAGTTGAAGAGCTTCCAAGCCAGACCGCTTTCCTTCGCTGATCAGTTTGATGATCCCAACATATAGATCCAGGCACTTGTCTGACAGCAAGGGTTGGGGCATTGCACTGTAGTGGCCTGCTAGGGTCTGAAACAGCCTCCACTTCTGCTCCTCCGCCGACATAAGCTCGTTGGCCAGGCTGGTGAGGACGGAGATGCCTGCTGGGATATGGTCCAGCAGGCTCAGGGCTCCCTTTATCCAAGGATCACTGGGCCTAATTGACAGAGGAATGATATAATGGTCAGGTTCAGACTACTTATAAAGCAATTTAACTCCAGTAGAGTGAATGGTAACACACAACCCTATCATTTTTACCTCACACACACACATATGCAATTTCTGACCAGGGGGTTGTAATTTTATATCCTAACAGGAATGTAGCATAGCTTTGGACTAAGTACGGGATATCTAAAGAGAAGCCAGAATATCTAAGATAATGCTTATTGCCCCTTAACTTTTTTTACAAACAATTATACAAAAAAGTGTCCCTCACCTTTCTGATCCAATATAACAGGGACTAGCATGACCTGTGTTGAATATAACAGTATTATGCCTTGTTGCTTTCTTCTCTCGGCTGGCATCCATCAAGATACCATCTAGCATTGGCAAGTCAATAATCGTTAGAAGTTTTGCCAAAGCTGCCTCTCTGAATAGCTCTTCTTTCACTGAAAAGCATGTGAAAAGATTGCATGCATTTCAAAGATGAATTTACACTATAATGTCTAATTTTTCTTTTCATTTTGGAACTGCTTTCATTTGTTTTACTGAATAAGAACTTGGTTAACATCACACCACACCATAACTCACTTATTGCAAATTTTTCTTCAAATAGTGTCTTGCGTAACCCTTCACCCATGCAAAAGAAAAAAAATTCTTTGAATGAGAGGCTAAAATAAACTCTCAACGTTTAAAATAATAAAGCAAACATGTAATATGCGTGCAATAGAACAGCCAATGCACTGACATCAATTAAGTTAAAGAACAATCAAAATTTATTGAGATCTGCATTAGTGCAGCTAAAAGCCACAGTCAATGATCAATGTAATAAATCCTTTGCCCAATCTACAACTTTGCAGCTTGTTATGAATTAAGGTTTCAACAGATGTGCAGCAGATGGTGAATGCTGTTGTTGTGACAGTATGGCTTAGGCTGTGATGTGTTGAATTTGTATATATACCTTCTGCAGGTATACGTCTCTTCTTTAAGCAGTCTGAAAGAGGTGTCCCTTGATTGCCCTGCCAGGCAATTTTAGGTGGACTCCTAAATACATCCGGAGTAAAGTTCTTTTTGACAAAATCCCTGCTTTTCCTTTTCATAGAGTCTGATATGTCTGAGCTTCTCTTTCGTATCGAGTCTTTGATATTGATGATCTCCTGTAAGACTTGTCCCTGGCGATTCACCACCACTGGATTACTGTACACTCCCTCTCCATCTATCAGATCAGGCTCCACTTCTTTATGAATTCTGAAAAGCACAAGAACAAGAAATAAAGAAAACAGTAATATGTACACATAATTTTTTTTTTTTTGGAGGGGGGGGGGGGCGGGGGCGGGTTGTTTTGCTATTAGCAGGCAGGCAAAGTGCAAGGAACCTCGACAACAACACCTGCCTTTCCTCCTTATACGTATTCATAGCACAGCATGCAGTTTTATATTATCAACAGGTGTTTCCATTTACCTGCTGTGGCAAACACCTGCCAATGCACCTGGAATGTGCTGGACAGTGTTAGAACCAGGATTAGCATTGCATAATCTTGATGGATTAACTTGGATAGACTGCTTAAAATAATTAATACAATTGAACTACATAAATTCTTTAGTAATTGAATTCACTATCAAAGCAGCAATTTTGCAGCTATCAGGATCTGTTAAGTCTTGAAAATAATACAAGGTTAACTGTACTGACATCACTTAGATAAATGTTTTTGAATCTTAAAAAAACAAAACAAAAAAAAGGAACAATTATATAACAATAAAAATAAAAAGGACAATTATACGAGATTTCCAATGCTTTTAATTTATTTTGATATTTATTCCAATGATATTACTATTAGTTATCTTATCAAATTGCACTTCAGCATTGCTCAAAATATGTGAATGGCACATGTTTCGAATGTACTATGTATGTAACTTTTTTCCTGTCAAATTGAAGTAAAGAAAAAGTGGTCTTTAAATGTTTCTTTTACTGGTATGTTCAAGTCTGAAGTTCATATGATATTATAGTTATACTATTTAAGTAACCCTTGAAATTTTGCTCACTGTACTTTCTTAGTTGTTGTGCAAGTCACAGTCCTAATTTAAAGAGAATAAAACATCTGGCTTAATTTACTGAATAAATTAAAAATGCTCCACAAAACTAAATCAGAATAGTTTTGTTTAGTGTTGATAAAAAGGAATGATATCATGAGGCAAATGGTTTCCTTACCTCATTTTTGTATCTTTTCTTGGAAGTGTTTCCTTCACTTCATGATTGTCCATCATATCTGTATCTACTTCATCAATGTTTTCATCACTGAAGCCATATTCAGAATCAGGCGGCTCTATAAACTTGTAAAACTTGTTACTGCTGTCTTCAAACGTGGGCTTCTTTTCTTCACTTGAACTGGCTTTGCTGCATACTGGTTCAAATATGTTGTTATCCATAAAAGTTTGGCACAGCTGTAAGGCATAAAATTTAGCTATGAATATATGTTTAAGGTTTTAATGCATTGACCCTTACTTAAGGCTGCTGCTTTTGTATGGAAACACCTGCTCTTTAAAGGCAACATCTGTCATGTCCAGGGCCTCAGCACAATAGTTTCGCAGTATAGTGGCTTAAAACTGATAGATGTCAAAATGATTTGAGTTTGACTTTCCTAATAACAAAAAGCATAAATTTACAGTCTTGTTTTTTTTTTATAGTAGATATATTATATTAGATGTACTAGTTGATGAAGAATTTGGTTCATTTAAATTCCATACTTTAATAGCATTCTCCCTGCTGATTTCCTTCCCACATGCCTGCCCTTCATCTAAAAGATGTCTGAGCATCACATCCACAGCATCTGACCCAGTGAAACAGTCATCGTAGTACTTCATCAGGTATCTACGACGTTTGACATCAACTCGGTGTCTCAAGATTTCAATCAGCTCATTCCACATCTGAGTTGCTTTAAATTGACCTGCCAAGAAATGAAGAGGATAATTCACTTCTGCAGACACAATATCTAACATAGAATAAACCTTGAGAGAATTTTTTAATTAAAAAAGTTACTAGTAAGTTCATATATGTATGCACACATATGTTAATAAAGACCTTATAAAATTGTAGTAAACATGGTAACAATTTAAGTATGCTTGTAAAAAGCACTTATTCTGGGGGAGGGTGCTAAAAAGCTGTTCCAACATATATTTGGATATTCAAAGGCAGATTACAGGGCATTCAACACTTTAAAAAGTCTCGAATTATGACTTATGTGTCCTTATCATCCAGACAATCCAATCATTGTTTATGACAGCTGTAAATAGCCGCAGGGTCCAATTACGTCATGGAATATGCCAAAATATCTTCATAATCACACATTTTTACAGCACATTAACATCCATGAATTTAAACTAATATAATCTGGCATCCCCCAATCCTGGACTAGAGTAGTCGCTTTGAAAATGACAAGGATCATGAGGACGGGATCATGAGGAAGTAAAATTACATACATGAACCTCCAGTAAATAAAACTATAAAAGTACACAAAAGAATGGACACAGTAGATTTTTTCGAAAGTTATATCCACACAAGTTTAAAAAACAATGCCACAAACTTTTTAATAAAACTTACCTCCTGGTTTAGCATAGCTGTGCCGTCTTTCAAAATTTAATAACAGAGGCGAACCTTTCCATGAGGCCGCCATTGTATTTTAAACAAACCCTTCCCGACATGCATTATTTGACGTCATATCCGTAAACAAAGAATCGCTTTGTGTGTATCCACATCTGGAAGCATCTGCACACTTTGAATGACTAATAGAAGCGAATATTTGATAACTTTCAACTTGTAACTGCAGGAATTGACAAGTAGGTGAGTTTTTCTTTAACTTTCAGTTACATCTAAAGATAAGAAAATGCTTTATGTGGTAGTAATAGTGAGTTTTATTTACTTGGTGCCCTCGATCAGCTGTTCGACTCCGAGATTACTTTTTTTTTCCGTATTTAAGCTATTTTCATTTTACGCTCAATGTAATCTTTGTTATGAAGCTTAATAAGGGCGATGTTGTTATTTAAGGAGATATGTTGTAATTAGTGCTAATTGCCACGTCCTTGCCTAATTAATATACAATACTACTGCTAACAGTAAAATTTAAATAATATAATCAAGGGACGGCCAAGGGATGGTAAGCGGCCCATGATAAGAGGATGCAAAAGAATGTCAATATCCTGCGAAAGTCTCTGGCCATAGGCGTAAAATTTTTAGTTATTATTTTCTCTCCAAATTATGCACTGACAAATTAGGGCATTCATTATTAGCCATTTAACGCTTTCAAGTTTGTATGTTACAGTTTTCTACACATTATACATTATATGGTCAGCAACAAGTGCATCTGTTTTGGCAGCAGCTGTTGTGGTGCTTCTCCTTATATTCCCTGATTTCATGTTGAAGCTGTTTTAGCCTTGGTAAACCATAAGACATACTTTTTCTTGAAGCCCATATTTCTTTCTTTGTAAAAAAAGTGCTTCAGGTTTAGCATGTTGCAGTCATACTCAAATTTGAAATACAGGGAAATATACTGGAAAGTGTACACTAGACTTTAGAGTAAACACAGGAAACACTATTTCACTAGAATAGAGTTATATGAATTGAAAAATATTGTTAGGTACTTAACTGACATTATTGACCTAACCTTACAATTTGTTCAGTATACAGCATACAGATTTTTATTCACTGACTACTCATAAAACTACATTTTTTAAAACTTGTTTACATATAGAAAGATGTGATAAAAATTGATTAATCTGCACAAATTAGGTAACATCCCTAAAATAAATACACCTAACTGCCACAGTTATCCCTCCCCCACCCCCAATTGTGGAGGTCTTCTTAAACCATGTGACCCAAAGGTTTGGCTTAACAATTGTCTCAGCTAATTAAAGGTATGAATTTTGGATATCCTGTCTAGATTGTCCCTAATTATCAGGCCTTATCACCTGAATCAGTGTGTTAGAGGTGGTAGGTCACAACCATTTACGTTTTCATTGCTAAAGGAGACTGAAAATGAGGCCTTCAAATGTTCATCATTTTCCTACACTTAATGAATCAGATTTATTTGGTATTGCATTAGAAAGCTCTGTCTAATTTGGCATTCTTCTTAAAAATCTTAGTGATGGTCCATTTCTCTAGCATGAAAAATTTGTTACATATCTACCAGTACTTACTTACCCTTTTTAGTCAGTAGAAGTGGTGCAGTTACTAAATATAAGTAAATATCTGTACTATGATCAGTATCAATTAGAAAGCAAGAACATTTTACAAGGAAACATAAGAAGCCAGAGAAAATCCCCTCAACACATGCACGCACGCACGCACGCACGCACGCACGCACGCACGCACACACACACACACACACACACACACACACACACACGGATTCAGTTTCTTACACATCACAAGTACATTCCACATGCCAACCAAAATTCATCTCTCGAGCAGTAGGAAAAAGCTTAAAACTGGACCTTCTTCAAATTTCTGCTTGTTAAAACCTACTAATAATTTTTCCCTCCAGTCTATAAAACACCGAAAGTAAGCAAAAATATATCTGAAAATTTAATTTTTAAATTTTGGAAATAATGTAAAGCAACAGCTTTATTTGACATATAATCAGTTATTTTCAAGTCCAGTTAGTCCACCTTTGCAATTATTTGCCTAAAAATCTTTACGCCTGAGATGAAACAGTTAACCACAGTCTGAGGAAAAAGTGATGCTGCTGATGTGCAAAAAGTCTGTGTTAATATCTACCTTTTTGTAAAAATAGTAAATGTCATCTAGCTATTTTGATTTATGTAGGTGTTAAACATGGATGACAAAGATGATCTGGATGATTCCTTGAATGGAGAATTTCCCAGTCCAAGGAAAGATAGTGATGATGCATTGAGTTCCTCTGCAGACTCAGAAAAAATGACAGAGTCCAAACGTAGAAGAATGAATACTCCAAGCCCAGCATTTATGGTTGCAGGTATAATATTCAGCTTCTGTATGGTATATATATTTAACTATATAATAATTACAATTGTATATTATTTTAGACAAAAGGATGCAGTTTACTTGTGCAGAACTAATAAAACAATCTTTACTTTATGAATAGTATGGAATCATCCATGCAGTATAACCTGTAATTTACACTTTTTCTTTGGTATGAGAGTTATCTTTTTTTTTTTCAGCATCTCCCCCAAGGTTTATTTCATTTGACCAGTTGATGACAGCTGCAAATGGCATTGCTAACATGAGCCTTGCACATGAGATTGCTGTAGATTCCAACTTCAAACTTGAAAAACTAGAGCCAGAGCAGAACAGGTAAGCAGAGATTACAATTTGGGGGTTGTGAATGACTTTTATTAACATGATTCACTCTCTTAGGTGTCATTGAAAATGACATTTGTGCTAAAACTTAGGACCAGAAATGATTTTCTTCATATAATCAAAACTTGGAAAACATTTTCACATTCATGTACATTTTCTGCCACTATGTCAGTGTCAATATTTTATTAATATTTATATTTCAGCATTGAAAAACAAGTGAAAGAAATAATGCACAAGGCATTTTGGGATGCTCTTGATGAAAAGTTAAAGGACCCTCCTGACTATTCACATGCCATTGTATTGATGGAAGAAGTCAAGCAGGTAACAAATCAATTATTTATAAATTGTGTATAATGAGGCATTACCAAGATGTTACCAGGTTTTGATGTTACCCATTGAGCTAGGCAATAGATTGTAGATTTTGCATAAAACTTCCCCCCCCCCCCCCCCCAATTTTTTTTTTTCAAAGTTACTAGTCTAAATTTGATGAATGGAAATGTAAGCAGTTGTGTTAGAATAATGTCCCATTATTTGCAGATTTCATCTTCGGACTAATAAAATTTAATTGGATATGATATAGTCAGAGTGGCCAGTGGGCTGAAAAGTTGAAGGTGTAAACATTAAAAGAACAGAAATGCTTTAACACATTTTCATGTAAGTGTTAAATTTTATAAAAAATTCTGTATAGCAGCATTTCTTTATTTTCAGAATCTCCTTGGAATATTGTTGCCACAGCATCAGCGCCTCAAAGCACATATCAATGAAGTGCTGGACATGGATCTCATTAGACAGAAGATTGACAATNGAAGGTGTAAACATTAAAAGAACAGAAATGCTTTAACACATTTTCATGTAAGTGTTAAATTTTATAAAAAATTCTGTATAGCAGCATTTCTTTATTTTCAGAATCTCCTTGGAATATTGTTGCCACAGCATCAGCGCCTCAAAGCACATATCAATGAAGTGCTGGACATGGATCTCATTAGACAGAAGATTGACAATGATGCTTTTGATTTTCATTATTATGCTGAATTTGTAATTTCTATTATGGCCCGACTCTGTGCCCCAGCCAGAGATGAAAGGATTAAAAATCTGAGGGAAATTAAAGAAGTTGTCCCTCTCTATAAGTGAGTTGGTATCTCCTTACATAAACATACAATCTTTTCAAATATCGCATTTGGTCAACAATCTGTCTGTCTTTCTCTCTTCTTGAGTAATGTTTTCACATTAAAAGGCCAATGTAAATTGTTGCTTGGAATATTTAATAACTTGAATAGATGTAGTAGCAGTATTCTGAAAAAAAAAGAGAGCATCAGGTCAATCTTTATCAGAGCTGTTAATTTCAGTCTTGTCCTGGTAGGCTGAACAAAGGAGCATGCTGATTTGTGAAAATTGTGGCAATAATTGTAACTTGCCTTTCTTTCAGGGAGATGTTTGAAGTGTTAGACCTAATGAAGATGGACATGGCCAACTTCACCATTCAGCAAATGAGACCCTACTTACAACAGCAGTCTGTGGACTATGAAAAGAAAAAGTTTCAAGAGTTTTTGAAAACACAACAAGGTATTTCGTGTTTTATGAATATTGGTAGAGCATATTAAGTACTCTGTGGCATCTTACCCTTTAAGAAAATAATATTTTTCTGAAAAAAAAAGAGAAGAAGAAGAAGTAGTAGTTTAATGTTTGTTAACAGGAAGTTCTTGCATCTTTGGTTTTCTTCTATTCAAGAGGCTGGAACAAATGGTTTGGAGTTCACCAGTGCTTGGTTGGAGAGGAGTGTGGATAAGTTAGAAAAGCTGCAGGAAAAGGCAAGCCAGTCTGCAGAGGCTGAGGCTACAGCAACGCCACCTACTTATGTGACTCCTGCCAGGATCATCAATGAAGCTTACATGGAGCTGCTCGAGTGGAGAGATGAAACTGTGTTTCCAGAGGTAAAACTAGATATTTGGTATTACAGGGGAAATTATCAGAAAGACTATCATAGTATGGAGGTTTTCGTCTCAAAACCAGCATCAAATCAAATGGGAGTATTCCACATTTCTGAATTGCTGTCTTAACCATTAACAACATGTATATTAAAACAAAACACACACAAAAAAATGAAATATTCTATTAAATTGTGTTTGCTCTTGCATGTTTTTTAATGTACCAAATTTAAGCACTTCATATATACACCCTGCTGAGGTTACTATCTGGTTCTCTTAATCAAGACCCTGTTGATGGACCAGTCTAGATATTTGGAACTCAGAGACAAGACTTGGAGGTTTTCCCTGGTATCATCGATTCTACTTGTGACATACAACACTGTGGGGGCCCCTATTGCTGGAGTGAAGGATCTCAAAGACAAACTGAAAACTGAACTAATGGTATTGTTGCAGGGTGTTAATGAGAGGTAATTATAGCTGACACTTAAGTATTTAAAAATATGCAGAGATATTTCATAAAGTGTGTTTAAATTCTGAAGAGTTTCATAGCAGAGAAGTGTCATGTTGTGTCATGTTTTTCTGAAAGAAACAAGTACACAAACTGTCTTAAAATATGTGAAATAATTTTGAATGTCTGGATCCTTACTAAAATGAATAGAAAATAAGTGTTCAGTGAATTGTTCTGTTGTCTTTCAGTCAGATTCATGATCTGATAGGTAGCATAGCTGACAGAATAATCACTGATGTGCAGGCATCTTTAAAAGAACACAGTTTCCCAGCTATGGATGAAGCACGAATAAAAGTGCTGAAGGGTCAGATTACAGATGTTGTGAAGCAGGACCATACAGTGAACAAATTGATCAGTAAGTTTTTGTCTGAATGTTGGACACAAAATTAGGTCTACTAACTTCAAGATAAATCCATAGCGGTCTACTTAAAATGAGCATTGATAAGCCTAAAACATGAACCATATCTCTTCTGTTATTTAGCAGTGGAGAGTTTCCTTGAATTGGACTACTGCTAATTTATTTTGTGACAAAGTGGACAAAATTGTGGTCTGAAAGTTTATACCATTTTTTGAGCAATAGGTCTTTTGTGGAACGGGTCCCTGTGTTTGACAGTCCAGGATGGTGACTTTATAGACTTGTTTTTTCATTCACAGAAACCAGAGTTTTGGACTTCATCCGTGACACCCTGATGTCCAATCACAGATCTCCTCTCAAAATACCTCCTGGACTTTCTGCTGTAGAACATGAACTCAGTGAAGTCTGTGGCCAGTTCCTCCGCCTCATTGCTCACAACAAGGCAGTATTTGGTTACTGGTATTCTGACATTATAAGTAAGCTGCTGAAACTGCAAGAGGACTTATCACCAAGCTCACCTGCCAAAAAGGCTTAAGATGGTCATTATTGTCTTAGCTTCTGAATAGGTACTCAAACTTGCCTGAACAAAAAGTGTACCAAACTTCATGTAGATAAACAGCTGAAATAAGGCTGAATTGTAATGAAAAGTGGAGACTTGCCTCTTTTGGCACAGTCAGCGAAACAAATGGTGGAATTCATTAGGTTTTTGATGCCAGAAGTCATATGTTATGCCATGCAGAATTTATGGTTAGATAAGGGAGAAATTCTGATGCAGTAAGATGATCATGTGATAGTTTCAAAGTGTTGAATAAAAAATAAAGTCTTGTTGAAGACATATATGTCTTTAAGGTAGAATGTGCCAGGTTCAAGACACAACATCATAAGGTGCTTTGATTATTCCACGCATCAAAAGTGAATGTATATACATTTATTGATTATTTATCTGATGATGATTTTTATGGATAGGCACTATGTGTCTGGACATTTGTAATATTATAACAAGGTCTTTAATTGCCTTTTATTGATCATATTTGAGATTAGCATTGCTTTAGAAAACTTTTGAACAATGTTTGATGAGGAAGTTTTTGTTTTTGTCCTGTCGGTTTTAATTCAAGATTTAGGCAAGAATGAATTGGAGTGAATGTTTATCATAATCATACATATGGCATCTCAGGGTGTGTTAATGAAATGCATTTGTCATGTGTGAAACTATTTAAAAGTTGTATATCCATTTTGTGGTCTTAAAAGACAAGTCTTGGAGGCAAAATTAGTCAATACTCTCTTTTGCTGGCTTTCATACCATGACAAAATGATATATTTAAGTGAATATTGTTTGCAATTGATAATTCATTAATATTAAACATTTTGTTCCATCCATTTTAGGAGTCCACATATCATCTAAATTATGACAAATATACATGGCAGTAGAAAGGATGGTTATGGATAGAATAGCCCAAGATATGCATTGTTGAATGGATGGCGATTATCATGAGTGGTTTGTGTGGGTGTGCATTCTTATATTTGTAAAAAAAAAGACAGCTTTCAGTAGTTTCTACCAAAGAGGACCCTGTGATGCAGCCTTTAAATGGTTAATAATGCTTTTCTTGTAGGAACGAGATCACCTTGTTATATTTAGGATAAAAGGAATAGATATTTTATGCTCATAGATACAAAAGAAAATATTTTTGTTCTAGATTCATAGATACTTCTTAGTGGGCAAAAAGAAATTTTAACTTTATGATATATTTACAATGACTGTCCTGTACTAGAATATTTAATTGTACTCTTAAAAAAAAGATGAGATAAATGTACCTTGAAGTATTTGATATACTGTGGAAACTTCTTTTATCACAGAATGTTTCTCTTATAATTAGAAGCTGTTCAATTTCTTATCCAAATAAAGATGTTTATATGACAAACTAAAGAAAAGAATACATTATTAAATTTTATTTATTAAACATACTTTTTATTTATATTGATCACATGCTCTGCATAAAATATTGTGTATACACACAAGGCACAGGAAGGAATGTAGGCATGGCTTCCAGATAATGAAAACTTGGACAAATGCCAAATTTGAGATACATGACATAAATATGGCAAGGTTTATCACTGTGGCTAATGGCATGAGCAAATGGGCAATCACCAAATAACTAAAGGTGATTTTTCACACTTCGATTAAAACAGAAGTAATTGTGATTGTGCTCTCAAGCACTAAAACTGAAAAAGAAAAATACTATCAGTAGCTTATCACATGGGCACACACTTCAATATGTATGGCTTTGCTTAGGATTTGTCAATAATTGTTAAAGACTATAATGTACAATCTCATATATCATGATTACGTGTATATCTGTATATTTTTCCTGCTTAATGCACATATAAGAAAATGGTATATTTTAATATTGTATATACATCAAATATATAATTTCTTATGCTGCAAAAATATACATAACTCTGAAACAAATATTGGCATTGGCAAATACCTGGCATGCAAAACTGCACCCAATTTGTCAGCTGTAGCTTCATATATTAAAAAAAAAAAGACTGACTCTGAGGTGGGTGACTTGTTAGAAAAAATAAACATTCTAACATTGTGTTATAATTTTATACCTGTGGGCGGGATGTCATCAAGGAAAATCTATAATTTTGTCCAATCACATTTTAAGCTCTTCTTGTGTTTATAAATTCTACAAACCTGGAATGCAAAATTGCACCCAATTTGTAAGCTTTAGCTTTGCATTAAAAAAAAAAAAAAAGATTGTCTCTGAGGCAGGTGACTTGTTAGAAAATATAAACTTTCTAACATTTTGTTGTAATTTCATATCTGCAGGTGGGATGTCATCATGGACAGTCAATAATTTTGTCCAATAACATTGTTTTTGAGCTTAAAAATTCTACGCATAGTATTTATACAAAAATATAAATATATGTTCGCTGGTAATATTTGGCTTTCTACACATTGAAGTCCCAGATCTTGATTCTCTGATCTGCTGATGCACTTGCAATTCGTAGATTGTCGAAATGGATACAAGTCACCTCTTTTTCTCCATGTTTAAAAGAATGGCAACTTTTGTGGCTGAAAAAAAAAAGGATTTTGATTTTGAAAAAACAATTGACGCTATTAAAGGTATAAATAGCAATTTTGAATGAGATAGTCTTAACATTCAATTCCTTTTTTCAATCATTTAATAAAATCTGTTTTCCAGTTTTAAATTAGGGAATTTGAGTCAGTTGTTTAGAAAGGTAAGAACCAATATACTGGTCACTTACTGTGATATATCCCAGTATTTGACTTCTCCATCTTTGCCAGCACTAACCATTACACCTTCCAATTTAACAGGGTCAGTGATGCGTAACTCTAAGCATTCAATCCTGAAAAGAAATAAAAATTATAATGAAAAATCATTTTAAATATGCTTCAAACTCATTTCATTTCTTTTAGTGTCCTTTATTTGTATACAAGAGCTAAATGTAACAAACTTAATGTTTTGAAAAGTTTAGTTTTATTTTCAAAAAATAACTTTTCTCACCTTTTCTGGTGCTCTTCAAAGGTTTTGATCAGACTTGCTCCTTCCAGTTTATACAGGCATATCACCTCTCCATAGGAACAGGCAATGAAGCCCTGACTGTAGCTGACTGACATGATGGAGGTAGTGGGGCTCACCCAAATTGTCTTCTTACACTTCCCAGCTTGGAGGTCCCAGATTTTAACACTCTAAAAGTGAAATGATAATTTATAGTTTTCAAGTGATATACATGTATTATACAACAGGGTCTAAAGGGGTTGAACATATGGCACCTTTCTTGTCAGATAACTGCCTAAAAGAATTTTGGTAAAAAACTCTATTCTTGCCTTGCTTAACAACACCTAAAATGACTTTAGAATATCACACTATTTCTTATAAAAATATTGGTCAAACATGCACTACTGGAGACTTTTTTTTTATGAAATACATTCATAATGCCTTCATTACCCTATCAGCTGATCCAGTAATGGCCAATTTGTCTTCTTCATCCATGTCTACAGCAAATATAGGAGCACTGTGTCCTGCTAATGACTTCAGCAATAAGCAGCGACTTATATCCCATACTTTGGCCTGAAAATAATTAGTTAATAGATCACAAAGCATTTAACATACACAGAAATATTCAGAGTACTTTTTGGTATAGGTTATAGGAAATAAATAACTTATAAGTAAAACACATAAAATCAAGGCTTTTACTGCCTGTAGACTGAACAATCTTAAGCCACACAAGTTTACTCATATTCAGTGTCTTTAGTATTGTAAATGCATTATTGTCTATGCATAATACTTTAAAATAAATACTATCATAAGAAAATGCTTTAGATATAACAATATTACAAGTGTCCCAAACTTACAGTTCTGTCCTGAGATCCAGTGACCACTATATTGTCTTTTCTAACCATGCAGTAGATTGGACCTTCGTGGCCAAACATTGTACGCACAGTTGTACCCTGTTTTAAGTTCCATACCTGTAAAAAGCAATGGTTTTCATTTAGATGATGATCTGACAAGCTGTATTTAAAAAAAATCCAATTTTACTGACTGAGTCTGAAACCCAGGGCTATTAAAGTTTGATAATAAAATAAGGCTAATATGATAACAATCACA